TTCGATAATTTTTTTATTAACAGACACATTGTTTATAATTTACCACAAGAAATTCAGAACTTCTTTTAAAAAACATTGTACCAAGAACCAAAAGGTAAAGGAGGCTAAGCTAATCAAACAGCTAAGATCTAAGTGAAGCGGGAGAGTGAAACAAAACAGACGACAGATCGCATATGTCATCAAGAAAACTACCTAGTTCTTCTTTTTCAGTGGCCGGTTTTTTTTCGTTTGCAATAAGTGATCAGTCAGGCTGTAGACTTTTGTACATACGGACATTCAGTTCATTTTAGTTTATAAGTGCCAGTTTTAGAATGTATGTCCTTTGCAGTCGTTTTTGAGGCTGATATATTTTTTAATCTGTTTTAATCCCAATATCTCTTTCTCATACAATTGATAAGCATAAGCTGGTCTAGTCTGTCCCTTGCTACCTGTATGGTTGGTCATCTTTTGTTAGAACAGCCATGTTTCTTAAATGTTTAATTGTTTTTAGTGATGGTCGGATCTGGATATCGGACTACCGGATCCGCCGGATCGGATCCAAAAAATTCCGGCTCTTGGGCTGGATCCGGTTTTAATGGATCCGATTTTTTTTCAAATTTTTTCCTAACACAAAGCTGTCTGTATCACTGTACAACACCGATTTTTTTACTAACACAAAGCTGTCTGTATCACTCTACAACCTCGAATGTTTTTACTAGCACAAAGCTGTCTGTATCACTGTACAACCCTGATTTGTTTACTAAACACAAAGCTGTGTGTATCACTGTACAACACCGATTTTTTTACTAACACAAAGCTGTCTGTATCACTCTACAACCCCGATTTTGTACCAACACAAATCTGTCTGTATCACTGTAAAACACCGATTTTTTTACTATCACAAAGTTGTCTGTATCACTGTACAACACCGATTTTTTTAACTAACACAAAGCAGTCTGTATCACTGTACAACCCCGATTTTTTACTAAGACAAAAAGCTGTCTGTATCATTGTGCAACCCCGAGTTTTGACCAACACAAAGCAGTCTGTATCACTGTACAGTGTACAACCCCGATTTGTTTACTAACACAAAGCTGTCTGTATCACTGTACAACCCGGAATGTTTTTACTAGCACAAAGCTGTCTGTATCACTGTACAACACCGATTCTTTTACTTGCACAAAGCTGTCTGTATCACTGTACAATCCCGAATTTTTTACCAACACAAAGCAGTCTGTATCACTGTACAACCCCGATTTGTTTACTAACACAAAGCTGCCTGTATCACTGTACAACCCCGATTTGTTTAGCCTACTAACATAAAGCTGTCTGTATTACTGGACAACCCCGATTTTTTTACTAACACAAAGCTATCTGTATCACTGTACATGTACAACCCCAATTTTTTTCTGATTTATTTACTAACACAAAGCTGTCTGTATCCATGTACAAGACCGTTTTTTCCCCGAGTGTTTGTCTCTTGATGCAAACAACTTATATGGCAAGGCCATGTCTCGACTAAATACCGATCTAGATGTTTGTATGTTTGTATCTAGATGCAAATAACTTGTATGGCAAGGCCATGTCTCAGTGTTTGCCTCTTGATGCAAATAACTTATATGGCAAGGCCATGTCTCGCAGCGTTTGTCTCTTGATGCAAATAACTTATATGGCAAGGCCATGTCTCAGTGTTTGTCTTTTGATGCAAATAACTTATATGGCAAGGCCATGACTCAGTATTTGTCTCATGATGCAAATAACTTATATGGCAAGGCTATGACTTAGTGTTTGTCTTTTGATGCAAATAACTTATATGGCAAGGCCATGTTTCAGTGTTTGTCTCTTGATACAAATAAATAACATATATGGCAATGGCATGTATCTTTCCGAACTGAATCCGACCCGATTTTTCGGATATCTTCACACCTCTAGTTTTTAGTTTTGTACCTGGATGATAAGCTAACGGCCTATAATTTCATCTCAAAATATCCCGTTTGTATTTTAATCTCACCCGATGCTTCGTGATAAAAAATAATAAAAGTATGATTTAAATTGGCATTCTGTTAAATATGTTTTTTATTTTAACCCGCCCTTATGACAATGTGTATCTGGATCCGGATCCGAAGATCTGGAACCGAATTTTTCAAGATTCGGAACCGGTACCGACATTTTCTTGGATCCGCCCATCACTAATTGTTTTACATATTTATTTGTGCCGTTTCGTACTGTGTTTATCTTCCAACAATGTTAACCACTGATCAACTCTACTTATGTACCTGAAGCTGACGATGGTGTTTTAATACCAAAACAAAACATATCCTGAATTGACATATTTTATTGAGTTGTGACAGGATTACGTAAGTAATTTAGTCTTACATTATGTCCAACAACTCAGGAACTACACACATGGATTTGAATTAAATGCCTTAATTTAAATGGCCATTATGTAGAAAAATAGCCTAAAAGTTTGGCTTCAAAATGTATATATATAATTTTTTTTTATAATTTTGTATATGGTTTTTTTTTTAACTTCTGCTACTTTCTGGATAGCCCTCGTACTAAGCTTTTAATATTTTACTGAAACAAAACACACTATATTACTCTCCCAGTAGCAGCAAACCCAGCAGGTAACTCTTCTGTTAAAATTTTATTTAAATAGATTTAAGGGAAAATCAAATCAGGTACTGTAAATGGAAATTCGCTGTGGCAGGGGTATTTTGTAGTTTTTTTAAAATGTCCATTGAAAATTTTTATAGCTTTAAATTCCCATTATATAAGTATTTAAAGTGTTAGACAAAGTCTAGTCACAAGCATTATTTTCCCATACATGTTTCTGTCTATGAATTATTCCACAATCGTGGTAGACAACAATAATGTCAACTCAACCTGCGGTACATTTTCTTGTTGTTGCCGCGATCGTGCATGTTGACAATGACGTTTCTGTGGCCGCAGTAGACAATGATGTCCACTTTTGCACGGAAGATGTTCAGGATCTGTCCGCCATCATGGAAGAATTACCGCTGAGCAATTTCAGGATTTTACCGTGACTGCGGAAGACAGTGATGATGTTTAGGTACTGAGGGAAATATTCAGGTTTTTGCCGCGCTTGCGGAAGACAATGTCACTGTCCCCACAACCACAGGAGATGATCACGATATTACATCTAATTTGTCTTCATCGAAAATCTCAGGATGGCACAGCTCTAGTTATTTTAACATTTGTTTATATTTGTTTACAATATCTTCATTTGCCTTTGCTTTGGTATCTACTGTATTTAATCTGTTTTAGCGAATTTCCCTATAGGGAAGTAGCTATTACCGTAGGTGGCACGGTAAAACTTAGACCCGGGACCGATTTACTTTTTAATTTTGATGTCCCCAGAGGCCAAAAACACCATTTGTTCAAATTTTTATATATGTATATATATACGTCCATGAACGCGATAACTTGAGTAATTTTTGTCCGATTTTTATGAAATTTGGTTTAAAGGTGTAAAGCGGAATAAACTTGAATGGGTTCGCAAACCAGCATGATCGGACCACGGGAACGGGGCTTTACGGGGGGTTTTATGGGGTAAAAATTGGTTTTTCTCACTTTTGACCCTCAAAACACAAAATATCCCAATTTCTCTTTAGACATTTTTAAAGAGCTTAAAAAAACAAATAATTTAGTATACAAAAGTATTTTTGTTCGATTATTAGTAACGGAGAAAATTTAAAAAGTTGTAAATTTAAAATTCCCATGTTATTCTTATGGAGAATATTGTAAAATGTTGCAGTTTGCTTGTTTATGGATATATTTTGATCAAACATGGCAAATTTACTTATTTTATACTAAGCTATAAAATAACAAGATGCTGTTGTATCTTACTAAAAAACACACATTATTAGTTTCCTTGTAGCAGCAAACCTAGGTACTCGTTAAACCTAATGTTATTTAAATATATTTAATTTAAAATCAACTCAGACAAATGGAAATTCGCTTAGTCGGCAGGTTTGCTGCGGCGGGGGTATTTTACTGTTTAAACTTGAATTGGCTAGTTGAAATACATCATTGCTGCATTATTTTTTTTCATTAATACCTTAAAATTGCCTTGTGTAAGGAAATAAAGACATTAGTTGGTATCCATACAGAAAATTTAAAAAATGCTATCGGTGTCAAGAATTGATAACTTTTGGTATCAAAACACCTCTATTTAATCTATATGTATTATTTTACACTCTTTAATTAGCGAATTCCCCTATAGGGAAGTAGCTATACCATAGGTCTCATGGTGAAACCTCACGGGACCGATTTAATTTTTCATCTTGATGTCCCCAGAGGCCAAAACACTATTTTTTCAAATTTTATAAATTATATATATATATATATATATGTGTGTGTGTGTCTGTGTGTGTCCGTGAACGCAATAACTTGAGTAATTTTTGTCTGTTTTTTATGAAATTTGGCTTGAAGGTGTAGGGCGGGATAAACTAGAATGAGTTCGCAAACCAGCATGATCGGATTATGGGTACAGAGTTTTACAGGGGGTTTTATGGGGTTAAAATTGGTTTTTCTCATTTTTGACCTCAAAAAAAAAAATCCTGATTTCCCTTGGTATAATTTTTTAGAGCTTAAAAAAAAAATTATTTAGTACATTGAAGGATTTTTTACGATTATTGGTCACGGTGAAAATTAAAAAAATCGTAAATTTATAATTACTATGCTATTCTAATGGAGAATAAGTAAACTGTTGTAGTTTGCTTGTTTACGGACATCTTTTGATCAAACTTGACAAATTAACTTATTTTATACTAAGCTTTTGATATTCTACCAAAACCCCAATTTATTACCCTCCCTGTAGCAGCAAACCTAGGTACTTGTTAAACCTAATGTAATTTAAATGGATTTAATTGAAAATCCAATCGGGCAAATGGAAATTCCCTTAGTCTGCCTGCAGGTTTGCTGCGGCGGAGGTATTTCTTCTTAATTCATAGTGGACCATTTCAATTTACTTTCTAAACTTCAAAACTTTGTTTCAGTTCACCATCTCTGTCGTGGCTAACCTTATTTTAAGAGCTGACGAAGTTAAGGACCAGTGCTCTGAACCTAATGTACTAACTGAGTGGAACAATTTCCTAATTAGGACTTTGGAAGCGACCCGCAACATGAGTAACACTGAGAGGCCCGTCATAGCTGTAGAACGAAGCATTCTCGTTAGACATCTAATGCCAGTTAAGGATCAGGTTAGTGTTGATCATTTAGATATGTGGGTAGCCGTAGGTAACAAGTATTCTCTTATTATCAATTACAGTGCTACCTTGTTATGTCGGACCAGCCAAGAATGCAGCAAAATGGACATAACCAACCAAACTTATGTGTATTAGCCAGAGAAAGAGCAGAAAAGATCAAACAATTATAATATACTTAGCCTACAATAGTTTCATTTTTTACTGAGAAAACACTTAAAACATTTACACATCGTAATAACCCATAAACAACGACTCATTATACGGACAGGCAGCACTAGACGGACAGTCAAGCATCAGATCTACAGTCACAGCAAACATGATCGGTTGGATGAAAACACAATCATGGAAACACAATCGCCGCTCTATGCTCATATAAAGCAATGGGGCCTCCTAATTGCATATTTTATATTAATATATATTTATATTTACCTTTATTGCAAATTAGTGTGGGTTAACTGAAGAACCATCTTAAAGGGGGCCAACTTAACGACGAGACCATAAAGAATTTGTCTTTTAAAATAAAAGGTTTCTGTACATTGGGATTGTTAGGGGGATTACATAATGTTAGTTCAACAAAAGTTTTGGACATTTAGAAAAAAATCAGAGGGGTTGACAAGAGCAGATCTACATGTTTGTGGGAGATTTTCATGATTTTGCCACAATCGTGAAATCGATGATGATGATCTGTTGGTGGACAATGACGATGTCTACACAACCACAGGAAATATTTTCAACCTAATGGAATCAGAATTGAAAATTATTGAGAATTGATTCCAAAGAACAGGGTGTCCACGGAATGGGAATTCCGGGACTTCTACAGGAATTTTATGGCAGCGTGAATAATACGGGAAATTCGCGATGTGGAAATTTGAAATGGTGGATGTTTTTATTTCATGTAATTGAATTTTGTGATACATAAATAACTAACTGTAAAAGTGACAATAGACAATATCAACGAAGGCAATATTGTGCAATCATAATATTTTGTTGTCATTAGGGGTGGGTGAGTACTCGACTGTCGAGTTTTTCCAAATACTCGACCTCGAGTCGAGTAGTAACTACTACTCAAAAATTCAGGTCAAGTAGTTATAAATAGTGCCACTTCACGATTTTCTACACCCGTATTTAATAAATGCTATTTGTTTTGTGTTGATGTCTTATTTAATCCCCATTCCTACAAAAAACAACTATCTAAATTCATATTGGCTAGTCCAGCATAAACTGTGGTAGTGGCGCAGACAAACTATAAATATAATTTTCTAATAAGTTTATATGGTTTAAATTAGTCAAACTATTAACTTTGGTTTACGAATTAAAAGCTATAGCAATTTTATGATAATTTTGCCGACATTCACCATAGTGGTGTAATGATAAATATGGCAACGTCAGTTTTGAATGTTTTGACTTTGAAGTGAATTTGTAACTTAAAATTAAATTGATTATGTTTAGTGGAAGTTTTAGAAAGTAAAATAAACATATTCTGTTTGTAATTTTGATTGTGCAGTTTTCTATCTGGTGGCAGAAACATGACAACTACAGTTTGAATTGTAACTTAACCTAGAAAGTGGTTAGAAAGGCCAAATAGGCTATACCGGGCTACAGCGAAATGTGTTTTAATTTTAAATTAAGAGTTTAATGTAGGATTTTATTTAAAGATAATAGGCCTACTATGTTTTTGTTTGATATTTTCAGTCTGTCAGAGACAAGTGACTTTATCATTTGTCATATAATTCCTTTCCACCTGTACATTGTAACATCTGTTCAAATGTTAAGAAATTATTTTTGTTTACTATGATGTTAGTTGTTTCATATTGTTAGTTCTATATCATGCTAGATTCTATGTTCAATAAAGCCTAACTAGAGGTAATTTAGTTTATTCATTCAATCTACAACAATTTATTGAACATAGAATATTTTATTTAAATATTAGTGATGGGCGGATCCAAGAAAATGTCGGTACCGGATCCGGATCTTGAAAAAATCGGATCCGGATCCTCGGATTCGGATCTTCAGATCCAAATACAGATACGCTTTTCTTTTTTCAAGGGCGGGTTTTTTAAATAAAATAATTCATATGGCTAGGCAATGTCAAAGACTAACTGTATCCATATGTCGTTATTGAAAACAAAGTTATCACAATTCTATGTTGCGCAATGATTATCTGATTATCGATTGTAATTTATTTTGAGGGGATACGAAAGAGACAAACTACCACCTATCGCGTTGTCTTTCTAACACAGCTATTCGTATCGTAATCTACAACGCAGTGCGAGTGCGTGATTGGCTAAGTCGCTATGACGACACACGGTTGCCGTGGCAACCTACAGTGCGCACTCAGCACTGCGCCTTGTGTGTGAGGGGAGATTATACCAACAAACTATTTTAGGAATTCCAATTTGGGACGGATGAAAGATAAGGAAGAAACAAAAAGTGGTCACGTGTGCAAATGTAGTGGGCGAGACAATAAGGCTATAAACGAGTATTGTCCCATCGTTGTTCCTTGTTTGTTTACTTTTTCAGATTCCCTATCAAACGCCCCTATCTGCTATCTCTCTCCCCCCCCCCCCCCTCTCTCTAACGATGTACTGATTAAACAGATTGTGGTTGACGACTTTTCTACTTAAGATTCCCTATGGTTATTTTAGTTCAATCAATCCCATAACCTTTCTATCGTTTATCAAAATAATTAATTAATCTGTTTTGTATTTTATTTCTTTTAAACCAACCCCTATTTACCATCTGTATTTTATAGAATAAAATGTTGGTTTATAAAGTTTGACTGGCCACACAATTTTGTACCTATTTTATTTTGTTTAAAGTAACAGTTACATTGATGATTATAATATATATATATATCAATAAGTGCTGCGTGCTGTAATGAATGCTTTAAAAAAAATGGAAGTTAAAGGTAGGGCCTACAAATGTTTTGCAACTGATCAGTAAATATTTTCTTGGGTATTCAAATCTTTGGTATTCAATCACATTATCCTTTACCTTGGAATATTTCCTAATTTGGTTCCTAGGAAGTTTAAAACTAGGTGGCGTCCTTTTAATGAAGAATTTTAGATTTATTAAGGATAAACACTCTCAGGGTTGCCACCAGCCATGAAAACCTTGAAAAGCTTGAATTATGCATGAATTCTTGTGACTATGAAAAAAGGCATGGATTATGCATGAATTCCTCTATTGGACCATGAATTTTCAAAATCAGGAAAAATTATTCTACCAGTACCATAAAATTTGCCAAATATAAAATATTTCATATTTAAAAACAGTTCAGAAAAACGAACACCAAGAGAGAATACCATCTGGGAATTTTCCACGTTCAGAAACAATTGCTTAGTTCATTCAAATTCTTGTAGGTTAGATGCTGATGTCAGCTGACCCTTCCCGAGGACTGTATATGGTTTGAAAAAATCATTAGGTGGGCTACCCCCGTGTATGTTTAAAGGGGTATGGGGACTTAAACCACAAAAACAGAAGTTTTAGACCATACACGGAATTGAAACTGGCCACATAATAAAACAATAAAATCAGCAAAACTCAACTGTGTTAAAATTATACAGAATGTGACAAAAGAAATCTATTTTTCGCAGCACATTGTTCATCGACGTCTGAGGGTGGTGGGGGTAGGCTCGTTAGAAAGCTATACGTTGCCATTATATGTATTCATAAAGCAGTGGTCACCTGAGCAACACGTGTTTGTTATCGAGCCGTTTTAAAAAGTAATTATTCAGTCATTTCAACTCAGCGGCATTTCCATGCATTCTTTGAATTAGGTCGACATGAAGAGATTCCGGTGAGATTGTCTGTATGGTTAATCAACAAAATTGAACAGATTAATAGACATTAATCTGTAGGGATAAGAATTAAGATCGAACCTCAAAATTAGTGTAACCGAGCGGTCAGACATGTTTAAAGTAGATGTTTGTTTTCAAGCGGGCATACGAGGACTGTTTACCACATCAGCACGTATTCTATCGAATGTTAGTTGTCTGACATCCGATCTGACTTTGGACGGCTTGTCAGCTTCTTTTTAAACGCAGATGCCATTGTTCTAAAGTTGGTTGTCCACCACATGAATGTGCTACTTGACGGAATCAACGTCGCCCCAATTTAAGAAATGCACCGAACTGCCGCTGAGTTGCAATGACTGAATAATAACTTTTTCCTACAGTCACCCGACAAAGTTGGCTTTCTTGTACTGTTTATAGTACAGAAAGCTGCTAATTGCTGCATATTTATACTTTGCCGCACGGTTTATACTTTGCCGTACGGTTTATACTTTGCCGCACATCAGGATTCCAACGAAACAACACAAAACAGCGTGGTTCCATTATGCACGTATTCCGTGTACGCTTGGAAATAGGTTGGCAACACTTAAAGATAATTATACTATGAGCAGCTGATTGACTATTATAACTACGATTTAACCTGTCATTTCGTGTTTATAGTTTCGGTATTTCTGAACTTTCTGGACTTTTCTTTTAAACGTTTTTAAAACCTTCCTACGATCTTAATAAACAAGAAAATACCTTTTAAGCATTTTTTTTAGGCGCGGAAACCACTTCAAATTACAAAAACATACGGAACTATATTCTCAAAACGCGGAACACATTTCTTGCCGAGGAAAAATAGCGGAGTGATATGGACCGCGGGTACTACTTTCTCTAGGGCACCATTTGTGTTGCCAGCTGAACCTAAAAACGTGTTGCATAGTGTTTGAAAGACTAATTATTTATATGCTTTATAGTGACTGTAGGAAAAATATAATGTGTAACACGAGTGAAAAAGGCCTTTGCTGCACTCGAGATCATTCCACACTCGCCTGCGGCTCGTGCGTAAACATTGCTCTCGTGTGCAGCAAAACGCCACTTTCACCACTAGTTACACAAATAACTATTTAAATTTGACTGTGATAACAAACACACGATGATGCTCAGGTGACCACTGCATGACCACAGATAATGGCATCACTTCATCTATGGTGTAGGCTTTTCAACTAGCCTAACCCCACCACTCTCAGATGATTTTGCTGAACAGTGCGCTACATAAAATAGATCGGTTTTTTTTCCACAACCTGTGTGAGCGCATTGACTATGAATTTTTTCAAACTGCCAATGAAAACCATGAATTCTGCATGAATTTTGTCATCCCACTATGGTGGCAACCCTGACTCTGTTCATATACATCGACCCACCCCAGACTGAGCGACCTGAGGCCAGAGTGTAACAACAACTCCATCTTGGCTCATGAATCCAGGTCCAGTGCTCATGAAACGGCCTGTCAGGAGCTCGAAATACAAACCACTCGTTGAAGAAGTACTGGGCCTAGGCCTACTTAACGCGCAACTACGCGACTCGACTTTTTTTTCAAAATCACAAACAGAATATTTTTATTTTACTTTATATCAAACTTCCGAATACGAAACTTTCCAAATTATATTAAGATCTGCCAAATGATGATGGTTGTTGATCATTTGGTTTACGCTGGACTATAGCCTATATATGAAGTTATATAGTTGTTGTTTTGTAGGAATGGGGATAAATAAGACATCAACACAAAAACAAATATCATTTATTAAATACAGGCGTAGAAAATCGTGAAGTGGCACAATTTATAACTACTCGACTCGGATGTCGAGTAGTAGTTACTACTTGACTCGGGGTCGAGTACTCACCCACCCCTAAAGATCAGCTGTACTAAATAAAGATAACTTGGTGATTTTCAGGTGAACAAGAGTGACATTGAGGCGTTGATGCAGTTACTACAGCCAGCTAATACGTCAGCTCGTGTGCCGTCCCCAGAAGAGATCTGAACGCTATAACTTTGACTGACGTCGGTTATGTGCAATAAATGCCTGGTCACATGGTGATCTGGACATTTCCTGTTTATTCAAAAGACATTGTTAATCAAGGCCTATTTATCGAGTCATTTATAGAAGAAATATTGTAGGCTTTGATATTTAATATATTGTTCCTTTTACTGGCATCGAGTGTAAGCCAATTTACCGAAGAAACGTCTCTGTATTAATTGTTGTAATTTTAAGAGTTAAACACTTTTAACTTTTAACTTTTATATTCAAATTCAGTTATATTTTTTAAGTATTCTTAGCCTATTTTTACATTTTTAATGTTTTAATACAATTTATAACCTTTGTTCTGCCTTTTTGTTTTAATTTTCTATACATAGGTTTGAAAGAACCTTATTTGTTGTTTATATATTTCAGTTGTTTTAATATTTCCTGCCAGCTGCAGCTGTAAAATAGATGTACATTTAATACATTAACTATGTACATTACTGTTAATAGTTACAATTGCCTCATGACGGGCAATTATGTATTTTATTAAAAGTTTCTATTCCTTTATTGTGATTCATTTTGTAACCTACATTGCCTAGCATAGCACTTGATGTAGGTAATTCAATATGAGTAGTTTGATACAGTTGATTCCCTCTGATCTGGAAATCTCAGTATCAGATTTGATTAAGTCCGGACCATACGTCGGTTTTTATCGATGTTGAGTATAAGATGGAGACGTAGGAATTGGCTAACTCTGGAACTAGCTAACTCGGTCGTGTGTCGAAACTGGCTAACTCTGGAACTGGCTAACCGTCCCAGTCAGGAATTGGCTAACTCCGGAACCCGCTAACTCGATTTTTTCCCGCGGCGGAATTCGCTAACTCTGGAAGTTGCTAACCCAGCCTGTTACCCAGCAGTTATTCCTCACTGCACGGATCGTTGCCAACCTTATACGACGAAATAATCGTACACTGCCGTATTTCAAAATGTCAGTGTCAATAAAGAAAGATACAGTAAATGTTATTGTTTTTTGTTATCAATTCCACTTTTAACAGTTACCACCTAGCCCAAAGTAATTAAAATATTAAAATATTTTTTATCTAACTGTATAACGGCCAATTAAATGTTAATAATTTCGATCTTAACTATAAATGCCATTATTATAGGAAAATAATAGAATATGAAAAATATTGAAAATTAAGTAGTACCAATAAACCTATATGAAATTAATGTAAGATACACACAAGTTCTCACACACAAAAAACAAGTTAATTCGTGATGTCATAATAAATCAAAACCATTAATTTATACAGTCACTAACCATCGTAACTTTCATAACTAATTCATAGATTTAAATTTAAAGGATCGTCGTTGAATCGTCCAACTTACGTGTAAGATATGACATAGGCTACGTATTAGAACAATAATTTATAGAATAGCAATAGCTAAAAATCTAGGCATAATTAGTTTAAACCAAAGCGTTGTAGGCCTACAAGTAAAAGCTAAACCTAATTCTAAAATTTGTCGAATTTTTTAGTGGTAATGTTAGGCCTACATGTTTTAATAACAGTTTTTAGATTGTAAACCGAAGGCCCACTAGTAAATAATCGGATAATAATCGGTATATAATATTCTTATATTAAACAGGGTTACAGGGTTACTTTATTTCACGATTCTGAATCAACGACTTGACAGATTTTCCTGATTTTAGTGTTGATTTTTCTTCATATTGCTTTTACAATCGAAATAAACTATACCAAGCCATTGCTCTGTTCCCCATTCCCCGGAACTGAGCTACTTAATGGACAATAGCTTCGTTGTTGGATAAGATCAGCTAATTTAAAAAGATAAAAGAAGATTAAGATTAAAAGATATAAAAAACTAAAATTAAAATAAAACATGTGATTGGAAATTATATTATTTGTATTGATTTTATGTTTATATTTTGTCACCCATATGGCCCATGCTAATTTTTTTAAGTTTAAAGTTCATTTTTTTCTTATTTCTGAGCCTATTTTAATTTATAAAGGGATTCTGCATATCTACAGGAAATATCTTTCTAACAGTATGCGTAGATTTTCCAAGCGATGCATACAAGCTGAGAAAAAAGGTTTCAAAGAAGCATGCTTGCCTATTAATATATAGATGAAACCAAATTGTGAAGTCCACTTGTGTTGGTTAGTCTACGGTAAGACTATAATGCATTTTCCACCCTAATCATAATCATAAGAATAATAATAAACATACTTCTGAATACATATTTATTTTATCAACTACATTGATCTTACTCCTAATTATTCATAGGATACAACATTATGGTACCAATACGATCGTAGGTACTACACTTTCGGCAACACTGGCCAACAATCTTCGTGCTTGGCTCCCACTGGATGGTGCGCGAGGTTTCTGATTGGGAGTTGCCGAGGGACCGAGTTAGCGACTTCCGTACGAGGACGGAATTTGCCAACCCGGCTCTAGAGCAGGTTAGCGGGTTCCGGAGTTAGCCAATTCCGCGGACCCATAAGATGTGATAGTGTCCAATATAAATAGCCTTTTAAGACGTTTTTGAAGTATAACTACCCAAAAGATATTGTGTGTTGTCACATAGATTTTCATTTTAGCGAATTTCCCATATAGGGAATAAGCTATTACTGTAGGTCTCATGGTAAGACCTAGACCCATGACCGATTTACTTTTTCGTTTCGAGGTCCCCAGAGGATATATATATGTCCGTTAGCACAATAACTCTAGCAAAAATGATCCGATTTTGATTAAATTAGGTACGGAAAGTAAATTAGAGAAACTTCTTATAACACTTAAAAGATATATTTACGCTTATACTGTTACTCACAAGCACAAGACGGTAAATATACAAAAAAGATGGTAAGTGGTGATTGATTTGGGAGTATTTCATTTGGTCCAAAATCGTTTGGTCCAACAGTTGTAAACCAGTTCGTTTTGTCCAAAATCGTTTGGTCCAACAGTTGTTAAATAGTTCGTTTGGTCCAACAGTTGTAAAACAGTTTGTTTGGTCCAAAATCGTTTGGTCCAAAAGTACAGGCAAAACCAGAAGCACAATTTTGCCTTGTGGAGTAAACTTAGACATAAGACATATTTTATTTACACAAAACGTTCTTTACAAAGTACATTTCATACATAAGAACAGGTGTTTCGTCATAGTGGTGTATTTTATAGTAAAATTAATAGTTAAAATAATTAAAATAAACTCATGTAGGATATCAGAGAATTTTTATCTACACTATAGGGTTCTCCAAAAATTCGTCAAGTGAATAGTAGGCTTTCTCAATTATTTTATCTTTTATTTTATCTTTAAATTGAGTAGCATTTAAATTTTTAAGATACAGGGGTAATTCATTGTACAATCTAAGTCCCATATATTGAGGGCTGTTTCTAAAAGTCGTCAATTTGTGATGTGGTAATCTGAAATTATATTTATTCCTTGTATTATAATTATGTGTAAATTTGACTACATCTGACAAATTTTCCTTGCTGTTATGTTATCCTTATGAAATAGACTGTACATTTCACGGGGAGTATTTCATTTGGTCCAAAATCGTTTGGTCCAACAAATGTAAAACAGTTCGTTTGGTCCAAAATCGTTTGGTCCAACAGTATGAACTATTGCGTCACTCACATTGAAGGCGTTTAAATAATCGCCGTCACGTCGTCTACCCAACCGCCTGCCTTCCGAGGCCTATATTTGTTGTTTTGTGTTATGTTTCTAAATAATTGATATGTTTGCATTTACATACACGCACATATACATATATTTATTTATATATAATGTGCTTGTGTCCTGTTAACTTTTTATCCCCAGTCAATCTTAAAACAACGCGTTTTAATTCCATAGAATTGTGGATAAACTTTGACTTTGCTTTGAGTTTGCATTTAATGTTAAACAGATGGTTTATTTAATTTATATATATATTAATTTCAATCTATATTTGTTGTGTGTTTGTCATGGCATTTGTAACAATCATTTAGTTAATAATACAAAATATATAAAGTGAATTTCTCAGTGAAGATATATCCTATTTTTCTAAAACTTCCCAAAATGTTATGTTTACCCCCATGAGAACCAAGAATAAATTATTGAAAAGAAAAGAGTTTGTATTTGTTGTGGCTTATTGTCAACGGTATTATCTTAACCATTAACTATATCTATATATATATATATATATAATAGAGGAGGTATGTATTTATTTATGTACAAAACATGGTGTATTTAACGTTTAAAACATAGAAAGTCGGCATGTTTAAAGCAAAAATTGTATTAATATTATTATTGTATACGACGGTGGATATTTGAACGCCTTCAATGTGAGGGACGCAATAGTTTATACCGTTGGACCAAACAAACTCGTATTAATGTGTTGGATAAAACGATTTTGGACCAAACGAACGAGTTTTTAACTGTTGGACCAAACGATTTTGGACCAAACGAACTGTTTTACAACTGTTGGACCAAACGATTTTGAACCAAATGAACGGCAATATAAACGTACAGTATATTTCATAAGTTTACTCCACAATGCAAAATTGTACTTCTGGTTTTGCCTGTACTTTTGGACCAAGCAATTTTGGACCAAACGAACGAGTTTTTAACTGTTGGACCAAACGAACGAGTTTTTATCCGTTGGACCAAACGAACGGCAATATAAACGTTGGACCAAACGATTTTGGACCATTTGAAGACCATCCATCGATTTCGATTGGACACTCCAATCATCATCAGACCCAATAGGCGAATGAACAACAATAACGAATGAACAACAAAGCGAATGGTAACCTCTCTAAATTTGGTACAAATGTGTAAACCTACGTTTATTCAAACAAGTTTGCGAACCAGCATAATCGGATTATGGGAACGGAAGTTTATGGGGTAAAAATTGATTTTTCCCATTTTTGACCCTAAAAACACAAAATTTCATAATTTCTCTTCAAACCATTTGGTAGAGCTTAAAAAAATAAATAATTGTGTATATTAAAGTGTTGTTGTATGCCTAACGGTTACGGAGATAGTTAAACAAATTATAAATTTAAAATTCCCGTGTTACTCTTATGGAAAATAAATAAAATGTTGTAGTGTGCTTGTTTATGGATATATTTCAATCAAATTTGGCAATTTTATTTCATACTAAGCTATTGACATTTCAATAAAAAAGCCCCACCTCAATCTTCCCTGTAGCAGCAAACCTAAGTACTTACTAAAATTAATGTTATTTAAATAGGAAAAAATCTGAAAATTGTTAGGGAAAATTTTTGTAGAAATCCAGCCGGGCAAATGAAAATTAACTTAGTCTGCAGGTTTGCTGCAGCGGGGGTATTTTATAATATTATTACTATACACAAATGTAACTATGGATTACAAGAATAAATATAGTTTAGTGTTTTTACAAGGCAAAGGCAAGTAATGTTTCAGATTCAATTTGCGTGCAAACATTTTCTTTTCAAAGCGGTTTCCCCGCCAGTCATTAATTGTACTTTACATACTCTTACTCCCATGGCCATCTGTACCCAAAGTGGTACTTGGCCTCACCAACACA